ATATGCCATAAATTTGTAAATGAATAACAAAATATTACATTATTCTTGTAAAATTTATTGGTTCTTGTCATAAATTTTCACACACATATATATATATATATCAAATTATAATGTAATCTATATGAATGTAAAGTAATTTACATACGTACGTACTCGATCATGCCGAAATAAATAACTTAATCGAATGAACCGAAAAATCACTCGGTAAAGTTTTATCAGGCGTTCCAGAAATTATGAAAATCAAGTCCAAATGACCAAATGAAAGAAATACCACTCGGAAATACAATATTAAAAAAAAATTAGAGTGCTGGAAAATTCTAAGACAATTTATATATATACTACAAGCAATCGACTTGGGTATACAGGTATCGTATGATTAGTTAAGCCAATTTTTAAGTATTAGATAAATTTAAGTTTATTACAGACATTACTGGCAATGTCTCATTTTTATTATATGCTGCTTACTATATCAAATTAGTAGTTATTTAAAACTGGCCATATAATCTGTGCTAGTTATAATTAAAAATTAACTAATAGATAAAAAATTTGAAATTCTGGCAAATTTTTAAGTAATATTTAAATGATTTACTTTAAATCCAATCTGTAATTAAATAAAAAGCGATGAACACAAAAATAAATTTATGAAAAAAAGAAAAATAGTAACAATTAAATACTCAATTAAATACTCAAATAAGTGGATCTATTTTTTAAATTCTCTCAATTTGTAGTTTGAATACATGTAAGTCTTATTTTACTACAAATAACTAACATAAATTTATAATAAATTAAAAACTACAATCACTGCCACTGCCATCACTGCAAAGAATAGTACTACCTGCTCCGCCTGGCGTCAAGATTCCGTTTGAACAAGCATCACCATTGTCAGGGAACACAGGGAACAAGAGACACACAAAATCAACAGATCCCGCATTACCAACAGATTCCCATTGAAAACAATCCGGATCCGCTTTACAGCAATCTTGCGGCGTAGTACTATTAACATCTATACGTGAAGCAGCTCCAGCATGAACCTTGTCATTCCACCCTGGACTACCACGTGATTGACAACATGTCAGTGTTGGTGTTGGTGTTGAGCATTTAGTTTTTGTAGGCATATGTTTATTAGCATGTTTATTAGCATGTTTATTAGCATGTTTATTAGCATGTTTATTAGCATGTTTATTATCATGTTTATTAGCATGTTTGTTAATAGGTATATTAATACGGGCATTAACAGTAATAGTTAATGCAAGTAAAATCGATAAAAGAACAAATTAAAAAGAATTAAAAGTTTGACGATTCATATTGATTAAATTATGTTAAAAAATTTGTAAGTGTTTAAGTGTTTAAGACAGAAAAATGTTTTGGGCGCTTTACGTTTATATAAAAAAAAAGTAGAATAATTGGAATCTATTACATGAATACATACCGTTAATTAATTGTCCTGCGTGTTACTTCGAGCATGCCTGTGTGTTATTTTGAAATAAGAGATATTTCTAAATCCAAAAATAGATTATCGTAAAATTATACGGTACTCTTTTCATGCTTATTCGTTCAGCCATTAAAACCTGCAGAGAGTGCTATATGTTATATTAAATTTATGACAAGAACCAATAAATTTTACAAGAATAATGTAATATTTTGTTATTCATTTACAAATTTATGGCATAT